TTTTTCAATTTTTATGATGTTTTGCAAAAATTATTGATTTCAACTTTTTACCAACTTAAACCCAAAGAATTGACCGCTTGCAAAACGCATGCGGTCACAATTATACGCACAATTTTACTTTTATTTAATGCTAAGTTGGGACCGTATTTTCTGGAAGTGTTTGCTATAAAATTATTTAAAAATAATTTTGAGCTACTGTATTGAGCGTTAAGTATTAAAGTTAAATGCAAAATGGGTTTCAATCATTCCAATTTTGCAGTTTTCAAAAACTCTGAAAGTTACAAGAATGTTCCGACTGAATGTTCCGACTGCATTTAAGGCCAATTGAAAGCTTTTTTTGGTTGAATAATTGACAAAATCTGAAAAAAAATGAAAAAATTTTTTAGCTTCATTTTTTTTATCCCAACGCACGCTATGTAAATTACTAAGAGACTAAGAGTGTGTTTAGAGTCTCGTATTGTGATAATAGGGTTAAATTGCCGGACTCATTTCAATTTGGAACGCATTAATTCGCTTCTGCGTGTAATACTTACCCAATATATCGCACTGTAATTATCCCAAATTGGCCAAACTAGCAATTTTCAAACGACCGTAACATAACGAAAAATGCTCACATATTAAGCTTTTTTTAATTTGAGCTTAGGTTAACAATAGCTCTCAGATGATATAAGAAATTAGTCAAAAACGCTTAGTTAACCAGTTGAAAATTTATTGAATAAAAAAACAAATCAGCATAAACATTCCTCACATTCTTCGAAAGTCGGAATAAAAAACATATAAATAATTTAATTAGGGATTTGAAGACACGAAAAAATTTTGCTTCAAGCATCTGCTTTGCCTCGAAAAAACTACATTAAAAACCAGAATTTTTCACTTAATGCTCTTAGTCAAATTTTGCCCACTTTTTGGTTCAAGTTACTTCAAGGTACAACCACCATTAGTTCTCGAAAAGTTTTTAGTTTTTTTGTTTTTTTTTACCCTGGGTATTTGGGTTAATTATTGCTATTAGAAAAATTGTGAGTTTATTATTTTGCTAAAACCTCCAATGTGCTTTCTATGTTTGATCATGTTTTTATAGAAGGGCCAAACTTTTAAGATTTTGTCAAAAGTTTTTCAATTTTTATGATGTTTTGCAAAAATTATTGATTTCAACTTTTTACCAACTTAAACCCAAAGAATTGACCGCTTGCAAAACGCATGCGGTCACAATTATACGCACAATTTTACTTTTATTTAATGCTAAGTTGGGACTGTATTTTCTGGAAGTGTTTGCTATAAAATTATTTAAAAATAATTTTGAGCTACTGTATTGCGCGTTAAGTATTAAAGTTAAATGCAAAATGGGTTTCAATCATTCCAATTTTGCAGTTTTCAAAAACTCTGAAAGTTACAAGAATGTTCCGACTGAATGTTCCGACTGCATTTAAGGCCAATTGAAAGCTTTTTTTGGTTGAATAATTGACAAAATCTGAAAAAAAATGAAAAAATTTTTTAGCTTCATTTTTTTTATCCCAACGCACGCTATGTAAATTACTAAGAGACTAAGAGTGTGTTTAGAGTCTCGTATTGTGATAATAGGGTTAAATTGCCGGACTCATTTCAATTTGGAACGCATTAATTCGCTTCTGCGTGTAATACTTACCCAATATATCGCACTGTAATTATCCCAAATTGGCCAAACTAGCAATTTTCAAACGACCGTAGCATAACGAAAAATGCTCACATATTAAGCTTTTTTTAATTTGAGCTTAGGTTAACAATAGCTCTCAGATGATATAAGAAATTCGTCAAAAACGCTTAGTTAACCAGTTGAAAATTTATTGAATAAAAAAACAAATCAGCATAAACATTCCTCACATTCTTCGAAAGTCGGAATAAAAAACATATAAATAATTTAATTAGGGATTTGAAGACACGAAAAAATTTTGCTTCAAGCATCTGCTTTGCCTCAAAAAAACTACATTAAAAACCAGAATTTTTCACTTTATGCTCTTAGTCAAATTTTGCCCACTTTTTGGTTCAAGTTACTTCAAGGTACGTCCACCATTAGTTCTCGAAAAGTTTTTAGTTTTTTTGTTTTTTTTTTACCCTGGGTATTTGGGTTAATTATTGCTATTAGAAAAATTGTGAGTTTATTATTTTGCTAAAACCTCCAATGTGCTTTCTATGTTTGATCATGTTTTCATTTAAGAAAACTTGTAGCAAGCAATGTTAAGCGCGAAAAAGCGACAATTCATTGAAAACGACAATTCTTCGAACGCAATAACTGATAGTAGTAGGAAAAATCAAAGATTAGTAGAGTGCGGCAGTTTGTAACAAGCGACAATTCATGACAAGGCAGAGCAGGTAGCCACCGCTTGCTATACAGTGGTTGCAGCTCAATATATCTTACTGAGTGATCGCCTGGTTCCAAAAAATGCCTGGTGCTAGTTGTCATTTGTTTCAACCAATGTCGATTTGTTGTTTTCTCCCAAACGTCAGTTTCGACGAATTGCCGACTCAGGGTCGTCTAAATTAGATGCACCTTTAGTAAAATTTTTTTGCAAAAAGTTTTGGAATAAGAAAAAACGTTCAGTCTCTGTATATTTTTCTAGTTAAATAAAAGTGGTATGAGCAGAGGATTATCGTGGAACAAGAAAAGTTATTCAATTTGACTGTTTTCTCTCACGGCTGCTTTCATAAACTTCGAATTTTTACAAAAATCTGAACTTTTTGGCGTGCGGAATCTTTCAAAAATTAAATCTTTAGCATTTCAGAAACATTTTTTGCCCTTAATTTTTTCAGCTTCTCTGGACAACTTTATCTTCATAATTTTTGACAGAATTTTGCAAAGTTTCCAAAAGATTATCTTCAAATTTTTCCAAATAATCTTAAAAATCTGCTGCAGATTGGTTGATGGGAATAAAGTCCTTCGATAAGTTGAAATCCAAGTCATCTTTAGTCTAAATCCATTAGTTTCGTGTTTGATCTGAAACATAGTGTGCTGACGTCGAAAGTGACTTATGGCAATTGAATGAGTTGGCGTCAAACTTTGGTGTTCAAAATTGAGCAAACATTGGACACTCTGGTATGTGTAGCCCCATCAAACTCCCCCCCCCTAATTTTTAATTCAACTGATGCAAAAGGTAGTACTCCGGAACAATAAACAGTCTGCCCTAAATTAGTTTCTAAAATCACTTTGGTCAATTTGCTAGATAAAAATCAATTTATGAAATTAGTAAACTGATGTTTCAATCTGTACCAGGGAGAACTAACCAATCAGTCTCTAGTTAGTCTAGACAAATTAATGAATCTTAAGTGCTAGAAAAATATTGAAACCAGTTTCTGTTTTCCATTAAAGTCATTTGTCTGATAGTTGCGAACTTCTGAACTAATTATCAGGCGATACTATCGGAAAGATGATGAATTCTTTTGTACTTTATTTAAATTAAATGTTTTTTTTTCTGAAAATCCGGCGATGTGTAGAGTTCAAGCTTTTAATCAGATTTGGCTCGCGAATGAGGCAACGTACATTTAAACAACTAAGATCTTTTCATATTCCAAACGTTTTTTTTGCGTCTCATTTGTGTGTAAAAAAGAAAAAAATGAAATTTAAAAACAAGAGAAGCAAAATTTCAACAAAACCCTTTTTTCTCAATTTTCAATCAAAACTATAAATAAAAAAATGCTAGTAAAACAATTATTCAAAAATTGAAATGATACGATGAGCACTTTTAGTTTATGGAGGTCAACCCGGGTATAGTTTTTACAGTGGTTTCCATTGATGTTTGATAAGTAAATCACTAAGAGCTCTCTGGCCGTGGGTATTAAACGAAGTGAAGTTAGCTTTTAGTCAAACTTGAGTCAGAATAAAAATACTGATCAAACGCATTTACAATTAATCCTACCACTGAAATTGGTCATTGACATTCTTTCTGCCACTGAAATCAAAAGCTATCACCGACAGCAAATTTGAAATTGAAATTCAACTTTTCTTTTAAAAAATTTAAGAATAAAATCAAGGAGTTATAATAAAATTAAAGGTTGTAAAATGAGTTGAAACTCGGAAACTAAAATCAACATAACTTAACTATGTTCCTGATTTGAATATTTTTGCTATCAAAACCCAGTTTAGCCAAAAATTAGCTTTGATACGTTTTTTGAAGTCTTGGAATAGTTTTTTTTTTCATCCAAATTGAACCCGCCGGTATGAAACTGAGTCCATATTAATGACTTTTATTATCGCTGATATCTCATATGTCTCGCAATTATCTCCAACTTATTCCTGGCTCATTTAACTTAATTTATTGAGGTTTCGGTAAGTCTATTTGGTCATTAGTAGTTTTTTAGCCTGTAGCTCCCTAATAACAGCGGGAAAGTTTTGACCTTTGGGCTTCCGAATGATTTATGCCAATTATTTTTCCAAATTACGGAACTTTGACGAAGCGGCTTTCATGTATCCCTTTTAACAGAGCCAATGGGTTTGTTTTGGAGTTTCAATTCCTGGAAAAGCTAGATTTTAAAACAAAATTGATTGATTAGCAGTGTGTTTGTTTCAGCCAAAAAAAAAACGAAGCACGTACGTCTTTACACTTTTTTTTAATACTCTCCCTATGCTACCGAAAAATGGACCGCGAAATGCAAGCTCCGGTCTTTATGTCAATTTAAGTAATTTATTTTATACTTAACTATTTATTAGCTATTTATTAATACCCCTTTGAGCACAAGACACGTTTATATTTTGGCTTCCTATTTTGAGTTTCATAAAATCCCTTCCTTAAGTTTTGCCTGGACATAGGCAAAAATAATTTTTTGATTAAAAAATTTCTGAGAGTTTTCACATGAAGAAGTCAGTTCAGTTCATTGAAACTATTTGAGTATCATATATTGGGCTAAGGAAGATTTGAAACATAAAAAGGTTACACAAAAACTAAAAGTTGAACTCGACTTCTTATTCATTTTTTTCACAACTTTCTGACATTCAAATTTAAAAAAAACCAATATGAAGTTTTTTTTTCCAGAAAATGAACGAGACGACGACACTGGCGCTAGATGAACCTCCAGTTGAGTTTGGCTATCAAACTACAATCAGTATATTTCAAGTTAGTAAAACAAATTCTTCCTTGATTCGAAAAAAAAATTCAGTCTAAAGCTTAGTAATTTTATTCTTCTGTAGCGGCGGTTCGAGCACTTTTTCCTCTTATAAATCCGTTTCTATTTTTCTGTGTTTTAAAATATATGAAATAACTCAAAACCTGTAGCCAAAATTAAAGCATTCGAGTTAAACTAGACAAAATACCGTCCATTTTTAGGTAGTGACTACAATAACTGCATTCCTGGGACTTCCTGGCAATGTTTTCGCGTACATGACCGCCTCTAAGTTTACTCAGAAATCATCAGGACAAACATTCATCAAATGTCTGGCTGTGAGCGACACTGTGGCTGGGTTCCAAGATGGATTCATGGAGGCACTGCTGGCCTTCCTTGGAGTCAGTTTCTTCACTCTTCACCCTCTGCTCTGTCGGTTCCTCGGATGGTTCACCTATTTCTCGTCAAGTGCAGGTTTTCTTGTTTTTTTTCGGCCTATTTCGATCACACACTTTTTTGGTTGAAAGTAAAAAGTTTCAGCATCGTTCGAATTTCGTGATAGTCTCATTTAGTTTAATTTAAAAAAATTGATTCTTAACAATTTTAAAACCAGTAAAGCCTCGAAATTGTTTAACTTTTTAATTAATTTTTAAACAAAATAAAATTTTTTAATGGCGGATTGAAGCTTTTTAAAGATAAATTGTCTTCAATAAATTGAAAAATATAGAAACTGTTCTTTCACGCGGAAAAAAAAGCTGCGCTAACAATATTCAAGCCTGCAAGGAACTTGTGAATTATACTTTTTTGTATCGCCCTCAACAAGGCAGTACAGCATTGCTGAATTACAACAGAGCCAAAAAAAATTGTTCATCGGTGCCGAGAATCATAACTCGACCCCCTGACGACCAAAAATGACCCGCCTTGTACTATTTTCAAACATCCATTTTGGGTTGACTGGCCTTAATATTTTTCTAAAGGCGTCTTTGGCGCCAATAAACTTTATAATTTTTTGTGGGAGGGGAGATGGGGGCGCTGAATGATTACAATTTTTCGACAAAAATTTCCCTGCAACATTTGCCTGCCGCGTAGAAAATCTCACTCGTTTTTTTTGCTGAAACATGTGCCTACCGCACAGAAATTTTGGTAAAAAATAAGATATTGAAAGTAATTTGGGAGAGCTCGGAAAATCAATTTGGTCCATCGAAAAAAAATCGAGAAAAATGTTTGAGAATGAAGCTTTAGATCAGCCTCTGCCTGATCTTTTATTTTTATTTTTTTGTGACCCTTTGTTTCTGCAGCAATTTTTGAAAAACTATACTATAAGTTTTTATGATTTTGAAGGACATCATTTCATTTATCTTGTGTTTAACCCACATCTTCTTTAACTAACCGCCGAAAAACAAATAAATACAAAAAAGGCGACTCTTATGTTTCAGCTGGCTATGTTCTTCTTGCAACCGCATTTGACCGAATGATTGCAATTTGGAAACCAATCTGGTACAAACAGAAATCCAAACCAATCCGAGCTTCAATAACTTCACTCGCACTTTGGTTGGTAGTTGGACTTTCGATGCTGCCGAACTTTTTCGAGTACGACTTGATCGGAACATACTGCAATTTCGTGGATACAAATCCTTGGGCTTTTTTGCATGGCTGGCAATTCGATGTTTACTATGAGTTCATTTTCATCGGAGGTTTCATTTTACCAGGAATTTTGATGGTAATAGTGAACTTTCTTATCATATACAAGTTGAAGAAATCTTCAGCGAGTGTTTCAAGGAAAGACAGAGAAGTGACCATATGTCTGATTGTGGTTTGTGTATCTTTTCTGTTATGTCTAAGTGGACTGGGGATCTTGGCACGACTCAGCCTAATTTTGGCCCAAACAAACCCGAGTGGGGCGAATCTCATCAATTATATCAGAGTTTGTGTTTTCAAAATAATACCTAAATTTAACAGCCAAAATTAATTACAGCCGAAAAAAATAACAGCCCTATGAACGGCCAAAATTGAAACAAAATAAAATCAAGTAGAGCAGAGCATATAAGTTAACCAGAATCTTAAAATATTTTTTTTCGAAATTTTGCATTTTTTCGTACATAATTTCTAAATATGTCATAATTTTACATAATTATTAAAAATTCCCAATTTCTTAGCTGGCTCAAGTGATAGTGTATTTATATTTTGATCGGTTTAATATCTCAAAATATGCTTAATTTGTAAAATACAACTTGAAAAAAGAAGCAAAAAGGTTCACAAACTTCTGGCAAACTTAAAATTTTAGATGGCTTTAAAAACTCTATAATTTCTGAATTATAATTTTGAAATGAAAGAGATTTCAAAAATACAGCAAAATAAAGTTTTGTAAATATTACTTTGATAGATTTGACTGCATGCTTTTTAGTTTTCAAAAACATTGAAATAAAAATTTGTTTTTCAGAAATTTCCTGCAGTGTTGAACAACTCGATGAACTTCTACGCTTATTTTGCAGCCAGTTCATATTTCCGGAAAACCTTCTTCGAGGCCATTGGAATGGCAAAGTCGGACGATAGAAGGACTAGCACAGTCGGATCGAACATTAGACAGAGTGGAGCTCCGGTATCAACTAAGTAACCCGAAAATCTATTGAAGGGCCAAAAATGCGCAAAGATGACCTGTAATCAACCAGCCTGCCAAATCTTTTTGATTCTCTTTTTTCAATATCAGCTTTCCTGCACTCATTTTGAACCAATCTTTACCCTGTTCCTTAATTTATAACTGTAATCAGACTGATCAAACATCGAATTTAAAGTTTGGCGTTAGATTGTTTTAAAGGCCGTGACATTAGGTGATCAGGTCTTCATTTTGAGCTGGTCTATGTTTTTACCAGCCGCCTAAGAAATTGGATAGAACTTTTGAAAATTTTTTATTTTTACTAGAAAACTGAATTGATCTTCTTGATGATATTTGAGTTGAAGATCGATTGTCAAAACAAAAGTTTGAAATTGTCGTAGAATTATAGTTACTGTTATTGTTCTAAAGATTTCGGTAAATCGGAATCTTACACGAAAGACAATCTACTGAATTGATATTTGCAATTAAACATTTTAAAAAAAATACTGCTCGTATCAGGGCGAAGCCGTGAATGTTCCGACTGCCTTTTAAGGTCTATGGAGCAGTAATATCAAGAAAAAAAATTAAATGTAATAATAACAAAATGAAGTTTTTTTTTCAATTTGAGATTTTTTGTGAAATTAAATCCCAACACGCCATATAAAGTACAAGTGATAAATTTCGCTCCTAGTAACAAATCAAATACACAAGTAAGCTTCCTTCAACCAATTTGGAACGACTTCTAAGCTGGATTAACTCTCCGCTTAGGCGTTAATAGCGCGAAATATATCGGGCGTTAATTGTCCCAATTTGGCCAAAATGCTAATCTTTAAGTCCTCATAACTTTTTGAAAAAATCTCAGGTGAAATTCACATTCAAGCTCAAAACAATAATATTTTTCGAATGATATAAAAAATTTTTGTTTAAAATGGCTAGTTAAAAAGTCAAAATTTGTCTGAAGAAAAAACCCACGCCGCGCAAAAATCATCCGTTGCCGAAACCTATGTGGCCGAAAATAGATAGCGCAACGAACAGACGGTGTAACTTTGTCCTTGAACTGTTCTAAAGTTTTCGGTAAATCGGAATCTTACAGTGACGATTTTTTTGTAAGATTTGTTGGCTTAGAAAATAACAGCATGTTTAAATAAAATCAAAAAGTTGAATTTCAATAACTGATTCTGAGTTAGTCTGCAAAATTAACGCATGGACAAGTTCTAAACATTACAACTTTCTGTGCATTTTGCACCATTCTTGATTGCTCTCGTTGGCATCTGAACTTGGGCAGACAACTTTTCAGGGGCGGATTTAGGATTTTCTTGAGGGGCGGATTTTCAAAAAACTTCAGAAATTTCTTCGACGTTTATTTTAGGTCGACCAAATTGATTTTCCGAGCTCTCGCAATCACTATAACTTTACGAAAATTAATCACAGTTGAAATATCTTTTCAAATTTGAGCTCAGGACAACAATACCTTTCAAATGATATAAAAAAATATCCGTCAAAAATGGCTAGTTAAAAAGTCGAAATTTGTTTGACGGAAAAAACCTACCCCGAGCACAAATATTCGGTTACTTTCGTATCGAAAGTCCCAACAAAAATTAAATGTAATAAATTAAAATGAAAAAAAAGTTTCTAAATTTTTTTTTCATGAAAATCATCCCCACCCCCACTTTCGCTCCTAGTAACAAATCAAATACACAAGTAAGCTTCCTTCAACCAATTTGGAACGACTTCTAAGCTGGATTAACTCTCCGCTTATGCGTTAATAGCGCGAAATATATCGCGCGTTAATTGTCCCAAAATGGCCAAAATGGCAATTTTTAAACTCCGTAACATTACAAAAATTAATTACAGGTGAAATATCTTTTCAAATTTGAGCTCAGGACAACAATACTTTTCGAATGATATAAAAAAAACTCAATCAAAAAATGGATAGGTAAAAAGTCGAATCTGTCTGAAGAAAACAAAACTCAACCCGAGCACAAGTATTCCGGAAAAATTTGTTTCGGGTGTACGCTCATCCAATTTTTTTTATTACATCCAATCGCAAAGTCACAGAGAAATACAAGTTTCTTGGAGTATTTGCAGCCGAAAATTTTCTACCTCACATTCCAAACAATGCCTTTATGATTGCTTGTGATCACTTCGAAATCCGATTCTCCGAGGACTCAATCGACTCTGATATGCCTTTGTTATACTTTACAGATCCTCTCGGTCTGCCTCTCTTTAATTACAGCAACATCTATCAAAAGATAAACGAGAAATTCAATCAATTCATAGAACTGATGACAGTAGTTCCAATGCAAAGCGCAAACTCTACCAAGTGTGTTTTTTTTGTATTTATATTGCACATTTGGTTTTTAGCTCAAATTTTTAATGTGATGCTTTGGTTTTTTATATACATTAATGATGACGTTTTGAAACCTTTCCTGACTCATATGCTTTTCCATCGACTATCTGTTTAATCTGTCTTATTTGTACACTTTTCATTTGATTTTGGAACTACATTTTTGTAGTAATTGACATGTTTACCCAATTGTTAACTGAAAATCAATAATCCGAGAAGTTAGTCTTCTATCAAAGTAAGCAAAAACAAAACTGATCTACGGGGTTATATCGCCATAACAGCCGCCTTTCGGCTGAGAGTCGAGCGCCGTGCGTTTTTCTCTACTCGGACCCTAAGAAATTTTATTCTATCTTCAATTTTATAGTAATTAACAAATTAGGTACAAGTTTTGATAGTATTTATACACAAAAACAGATCGAACGTACACAATACTCGTACGTTTCCTAACCCATATGCTTTTTCATTAAAATTATCAACTTATTAATGAAATTGGTATATTATCGTTTAAACATTTTTTGTCGCCAAACCTCTGTTTTTTTCTGAGTGTGGTTGCGCCAATGTAGTCCAAACAGTTTTAATTGCCTCAAGATATTGATCAGTTCAATGAAAATCAGCTCAATTCCATTATCTCAATCTAATTACACCAAGTAACTCAACGTACAACACGTGTTTCAAGAGTATCGATTTATCGTTTTTTCGCTACTTTTCCTGTCAGTCGAATCTTTTGATCGTTCAGATTGGGTCAACCTTGATCCTACTAAAAGTCAGCTAACTGTCTAGCCACAGCCAACGTAAATGAAACTTTTTGCTTTAATGTATAAGTTTCAACTATGAAAAATGCATTTTGCAAGAAAGTAGTTCACAATTACCAACAGTTTAAATCTACCGGCGATAATTTATACGTTAAGTTTAATTCCACTCAAGTATGAACGTTTCCAAACAACACTTAGTCGATCCATTAACAGAAAGAAACTTTGTTTTTTATATGGAGACAATGGATTGTCATACCTTATTGTCAAACATGCAAAACAATGCATGAGGACAATTACTTGTCACACCCCCTTGTCATCACATGGGAGGACAACCCACCCCTATCGCGTTGCAAAAAATGCATACTACTTATAGCTTTGATTAGCTTGCATAGAAAAACCTAACATTTTGCGCACCGAATCGTCATTAAGACAACTTAAAATATTTCATAGTTTCTAAAAAGTTTGCTCAGAAAACTTACACTTTTTGCAAACCGATTCGGTCTATGGAAATCAAACAGTTTGAAAAATTCACAGTTTCACGGTTTGAATGGCTTGCTCTTAAAAGTTTCAACTTTTCACAAACCGATTCAATCTATGAAATATCTTGAAACATTTCAAAGTTTCTAAGACTAAAAAGCTTGCTCAGAAAACTTTAGTTTTTCGCGACCCGATTTGTCTATGATGCAACGTGAAATGTTTCATAGTTTCTAAGCTTGAATCTCTCACTAAGAAAAACTCACATTTTTCGGAAACTGAATCACTCGGAAAAAAATTGAAATAATTAAAAATTTCAATGCTTCAAAAGCTTGTTGACACAACATGTTTTTTCTGCAGGTCTATGAAACCTTTTGAAACTTTTCGAGTTTTCTTAGCTGGAATTGCTGGCTTGGAAAATTTGAAATTTTTCCTTAACCGATAATAGCTTGCCTAAAAAAATTTAAACTTTTCAGGAACTGAGTTTCATAGCTTGAATATCTTTGTTAAGAAAAACTTTTCGAGACCAGATTTAATTCATAAAATGACTTGAAATATTTTAAACTTTCATAGCTTGATAACCCGCCTTCTTTGTTGAACTTTTGCTAGCTGATTCGCTCTATGGAACAATTAAACATAATTTAATGATTCATTTCTTCACTAGCAGGGTTAAAAACATGAAATTTTTGCAAAACGATTTGGTCTATGAAATAACTTGAATCGGTTGAATATCTGCTTGAAAAAACTTAAACTTTTTTTAAACCGATTCCCTTCATGAAATATTTCAAAGCTTTGAAGCTTCAATCGCTTGCTTATGAAAAATAATATTTGTGAACCGATTAGCTTTATGAAATATCTGAAAAAGTGTCTTTGCTGGTATAGTTTTCTTAGAAACACTTAAATTTTTTGCCATCCGGTCCACTTCATGAAATAATTTGAAAATTTTTTTAAGGTTTCATAGCGACTTGAATCAGTTTCAGAAACAACTTAGAAACCAACAATCTTTCTGAGAGATGTTTCAAGTTTCAAGGCTTGAATTGCTTGCCTAGAAAAACTTAAACTTTCGCCAACCGATTTGTCTGCGAGACTACTTGAAAAACTTCAGTCTCATAGCTTTGAATAGCTTGCTTAGAAAAACTTAACTTTTCGCCAGCCGATAAATCTATGAGTCAACTTGAAAAAATTCAGTTTCATAGCTTTGAATAGCTTGCTTAGAAAAATCTAAGTTTTCGCCAGCCGATTAGTCTATGAGACAACCTGAAGTTTTCCAGTTTCATAGCTTTGGTTAGTTTGCTAGAAAAACTCTACCTTTTCGCGAAATGATTCGTCTATGATAGAGCTTCAGATGTTTCCAAATTTCAAGGCTTGATTAGCTTGCTTAGAAAACTTGAATTTTTGCGAATTGGTTATATATATATATCAGTTTCATAGCTTTGAATATCTTGCACAAAAAATCTTTAATTTTTGCGAACCGATTGGTCTATGAGACAACTTAAAGACTTTTAATAGTTTGCTTGAATAGCTTGCTCAGACAACCTTTAATTTTTCGCGAACTGATTCGTCTATTAGTTATTTTGAAAAGTTTCTTAATTTTTGTTTTAAGTATCTCGCTTAGAAAAACTTA